AGCCCATTGGGACACAGACAATATACTGTCCCTGAACTGGGACCCACAGTGGACCATCCTGACCAACTACTTTATTCCCTCCAGGATATAACTCCTTGGAACAGGTAGTTTCAAGCTGTGACTGTGAATCACCTTCACTTCCTCTTTCTTGCGTGACATTCAGCCTGATCTTAAAGGAATCTTCTCATTAGCCCTGGTTGTTGCTACGTAGACTCTTATCAACCTCTAGTTTTTCCTCCCTTCTACACAAGGGGGGAAGAGGGTAAGGAGTTTCACCTACAGCATCAGAAGGTGAGTATGCCTTCTTCTACTGTTTGATTAGTGCCCAGGGAAAATCTATTACATTGCAGTTAAGTTAACTGGATGATCGGAAGTGACAATACATTCGGAAAAGAAATAGACCGGAAGTGACGTCATTTGTGACAACATCGGGATCCAAAATGATGTCATAAGAGAGAATGATGTCATTTACACTGGAAGTGATGTCAGAAATCTGTAGTAAAGACCTAAAAATTGATGTAAGAATTATACCTAATTATGATATCCAGGTACATAGATACTTACAATTGAAATATCAGCAATATAGCGGTAGTACTAGAGAAAGTATCACATAATGACTTCAGATTTCACTACATGATTTTTAAGTCCTCTGGGAATGGTTTAGACATTACATCTCTCGGGGGATTTGGATCAGTTATTCGATGGAAGCACAAGGATTATTGGGTACTGCCGTTAACTATACAGGTAGTGTACTTGAGGCAGAACCCCGCCTTTACCCTCTGTTATATTCTGGCAATGATGTTATAGGGGCAGAGGATTCGTTAGAATTCTAATTCTAATTCTAAGAATACTACCTCTATTACATCAGAAGTACTCCCTCCCACCTCCCCAAGCATCTGCCTCTGGTAGGCTGATGTTTATTTTGTAAAGAAATTAAGGTTTTTCCGGCTTGCTAGTGCTATTTCCGGGACAACTATTATTGCATAGTTGACAGTGAAGATGACCCCAGTTGAAAATCTGAATCAAATGATGTTAATCAAGTTTTACACATGCTAGCATCCCTCCTATATATATATATTGTGACACTTAGTGACACACCTAAAATATTTGACAAACTCTCAGCAGTAGCTTGTAGTTGTAACGACGATCTGAATGCTTTATGCAAAACATTGCACAGTGAAGTGGTTGAAGCCTCAAGTTGTATCGTATATAACCAAGAGCTCGATAATATAACCAAATTATTATTATGACATCCTTACTTGCCCCTTGATCATGGATGCCAGTGATTCCATGTGGATCATGCTCATGAGAAGGATCCAATCCTTCATGTTGGTATGCTAACCGGAATGTTGCCCTGAGTAGGAATGAATCTGGCTTTCTCCAATATACCAGTGGAAGGAACACCCACTTCCACTGCTTCCTGGTAGATTTTGTCACATGACCGTTTTTCTCCTGGTCCTGGTAATGGGTATCAATAGTTGACCAGATTTCAAAGTTTACATAGGCCTCATGTGGTATTTAGCCACCAACAACTAGGAGATGAAGATCAAAGTTTCACAATATCACTGCTGTCATCAGTACTAGGGCATAGTGACACTGCTGACTTGTCATTATGTCCAAAGGCTAGAGTCTGTCAGCTCAAAAAACCCAATAAGGTTATGATACCAGATGCTGTTGGACAACTCCAAGGCCCCTGGCAGGAGGTCTGAAGAGCTTCTTCTGACCTTTACGTATGAAGCTCACAGCATGGCTTTTATCTCCGGTACTGTACCTAGTTGGCTGTTTGGGATCCATCCACTTGCCTTACAGTTGGTTGTGCAAGAAATTCCTTTGGTGTCACAGGACACTGACGGTGGAATTCCTGTGTACCTACGTGATAGCCTGTGTTTCTTTGATAGCCACTAATGCCTTTGCTGAAGTTCCAAACGTGCAGAGTGTACGATCTTGGACAGAATGTGCCTGCTTCGTCCATAACTTTCCTAAGATCTGTTTAGTTCCAGGAACCACAGTCTCCCAGGCTGAAGAGATGCAACCAAAAGCATTTGATCTTGTTTCCCTCAACATCAGCTCTAGGTAGTAGTACTGGGTGTGGAAAAGGTGTAGGGGTGGAGATTCTTCCCAAAATATGAACAATGCGTCGTGATCCCAGGCCAGTGGATCTGGGACACGACCACTGGAAGCTGGCGGCTGTAGTTTGTATCACCCAGATCTATCTTTGGTGTGTCAGGTTGTTGACAGATCAACCAAAGTAGACTCGGATGAAGTCAACAGTCCTAGCAGACACTGCCAGACGTGGAACGACATGTCCTGACCCACAACCTGCATAATCGATGATTGTACCTTAGTCTGAGCACTGGAAACATAAGCTGGGCCTCTGCTGGTGTTGAACAGGCCTGCTATGAACTGAAGTGACGGAAGCGAGACAAGGTCGCAACATATCGCCTTATCGATTATCATTAAAACATGCTACATGCACAACAATTGCTATAGTTGTCAAGATAGCATACACCCAGCCTTTAGATATCATTACCAGTTGATGGAGCACCTGGGAAGGTAGCTGGAGGCACTGATTTCGTTGCATATCCAGACACACACTGTAGCAATTTACTCTTGTTAGTCGAGTAGGCGCCGATGGAAAGTCAACACTAGAATCGTCCATAGCTAGTGTGGATGTACCTGTGGTGACTGGTATAATAGCCATAGCAGCTTTTGGAGGTAGCAAGAATAATGGTTATGCTGATAACCAGATGCCGTAACCCCCATCGAAGGTCTCTGAAAACAGCTGGATCCCACGCACAATGGCCTAGTTCTAAGCATAGTCGAGTCGTCCCCCTTTTTTTTCTTGCACATAAATACCTTTCTATTCTTTTGATGTCATAAAAAACCCAACTAATTTCATCATTATAGTAGGTTATTTTTCACATTGAATGTGTAATATTAAAGATAGGCATACAAATCCATTTGATATAACATTATTGTACCATATGTAAAAAAAATCCAGCAACAGCAATCACATGTATCAAAGTGCTACACTTAAGGTTATTATAATTATAAATATTTATATAAAAGCTGCAACTAAAATAACATGATATTGGAATATATTATTCCTGATAAAATAATAATTTCAGATGCAGTTGCTTCCGACCATTGCAGAAAAATTCTTTGAAGTTGTATCATTGGGTACTTTTTAATTGAATCACCGGTAGATTCAGAGGAAATGTGTGCACAGTTGATTGCTATTTCCGGGTTAGTTTACGAGAAAATACACACGGTAATCTTATTCTGTGCATGTAAAACAATGCCTTAGAAAATACAAGGAAATACAATTTATAATACAATTTAAATGGTAAATCATCATGTCTAGTGAAGTTTTATATCAAATATCATATTTTTATTGACCAAGTTTGTTTTACCTGTTCGTTCACTTAAATTCACTGAAGGGATACAATGTGGTTTTTTTAAAGCACATAACACTCGATTAATCTATTTTAACATGCAGCATAAATTGTGATAGGTGGGCAGAGCATGTGCTGTTTTGTTGGTCATCTACTCCACTTCAGTTAAACCGCTGATCATCTATAATGCTCATCAATTATGTGGACCCCAAAGGTAGCGTCGCATATCATTTTGATATTATTAACATATTTGATCACTAACAGTATCACAAGCACAGTTAGGATATGAAGAACATAGAAGGTAAAGATTCAGATATATTGTTGAACTGTTTTGTGAAAGAAACAAGTTAACTAGCTAACTAGACTTTATGGCAGGAGAGGATCTCTCCACACCAAGTTCCACATTGTCTATGTGGCAGTGACCAAAATACTTAGATCTGGGTGGCTATGGATTAAGGCCTGTATAAATGGAAATAATCATGCATTGATGTTGTTCACTGATAGAGGATCACCCTGGTGAAAGGGGATCTGGCGAAGATATAAAATGTAAATCAAGCATTATGTGTTTTATTATACCAAAACATTCATATTTCACTGTCGGTGACATTCATGACCATTGACAGACATGATGCTGTTTGTTTGTGTAAGCACATGCCTTTCAAAATTCTTACTAATGATCACAGAAAAGGCTTGTTCGTATCAATATTGTAAGAGTATTATAACCAGGGTATTTTGGAAAAAGGGTTTTTGATATTTACTTAAAATGTAGTTTACTTAATTAAGCTTTAGGGTAAAATATAGATGCATATGAGAGAAGTGACTGCAGGGTGAGGGCATCACCCCCAGGACAAATGATTATTGATTTTGCTTCTCTTAGTGATAGAGATAATATTTAATTGGTAAAATGAAATTAGTAGAATCCGGTCTTGCAATATAAGTGCCAGAAGGGAATGAATGGATGGAACAAACTGTCAGTCTTGATGTTATCAAATATTTCTGAGAACTATTGCTTGATTGGAATGTCCGACTAACATGATTAGGTATCTTTTTGGTGCCTTCAAGTCTGACAGAGTATTTGATGGTATTTGATTATATGAGTATGTTCAGTTGACCAATGACCTTAGGGAAGAAAATGAGCTTGTTAGTTGAGGGGAGCCTGATAGAAAAACTGATTACGATGAAAATTGGGGTTCATTGGGAAGTGAGCATTATGACTCATTTCTCATGATGTCAAATATGATTTTGGTGGGAGGAGCTAAGATTATCATCGATAGTATTTTGTTAGTTGTCCAAGAGTGGTGCGGGGATTTGGGAGCTCACGGCTGAACAGAGAGGTTCTCTGATCAGAGGTTGATCAGAAAATCTATCAGGCTCTTCAACGCATCTAGGTATGTGTTGTATTTAAGTAATACAGGCAACAACAAGAACTTATCTGAGGACCATGTGTGTATATTCACAATAACCACCATCACCAATAAATGGACTGGAGCAAACCATCTGACTTGTGCTTTTGAGAGAGCTACATCATCCCCAGAACCAAGGAGTGGTTGATAAGTACAAGTGACCAAAGGTAGAAGGGTAAAGTACCCGACACCTAAGGTTACAGTATTACTTCCCATTTTCTGTCTGTAAAAGGATTTTCAAAAAGATTCATACATCTGGTACATTTACTGCACGCTTCATTCTAATTGCTTCATAAATAAAGCCCACCATACATCTAACAGAAAACAATGTTTACATACCTTGACAATATCATATCCAAGTTCTGTAAAGAATTCTTCAAACACGAGAGTGATCAATGTCTCTCCTGCATCAATGATGTAGACACAGTTCAGGTTCCTGTTGTAATAGCCAGGGTAGTTAGGTGACATGATAGAGCCAGACATGTTTGTGTAGCGCCCACCGCATCCTGGAGGAGATAAAACAAATGACTTGTGAACGAGTGAATTCAGCTTGTGAATGAATAAAATGTTTAAACATTGGTCCAAAACGTAACAAAATCACTTCTAATGTGAAAAGATACTTATCTGCCAAATCCAGCATAATTAAGAGTAATTTTTAGTTGCAGTTAAGACAATTTAGGCTAATGTTGACACTTGAACACATGCATTGTACGCCTTGCCTGCTGCGATTAGAAACCATTACTTATTTAAGTGTGAGAGATAAACAGCTCTCAGAAAATGAAATTCAGTGAAATGCTCAATAAAGGTTATAACCTCTAAAAACATATACATGTATTACACTACACCTGTCGATATTTCTCTACAATGTTCGACAACTGAGTAACTAAAGTATCTACATATATATACATGTTGCACCAAAAACCTATGCTGATGTACGTCTGGCGGATGTATTATGGCCTAAGGCCTCTATAAAGTATGAAATGTCTGTGTGTCTGTCTGTGTCATATTTAAAATATGTATATTCACACAACGGAGAATGAACAACAAATTATCAGTTACTGCCCCAAGTGAACAACCATGAACAGTAAATAAAGGTACATGTTTGTAGCAGTGACCAGGGAAAACTTTCTGCAATAATTACTCAGTTATATAAGGGGAAGAAGAAATGGATAAGTGGTCTATAACACTGGAAGTTGTTGTGCAGGGTTGCCTCCCTTAGTTGCACTGGGATCTGCTGATCATGAATTTGAATCAAAGATTTGAACTCGACATGAATTTTGATTGGTCAGCACCTGACCCGTACCCATGAGTTTTAACAAAGTAACAAACACTTTTGACACACCCTGATTTACTTAAATACTGTCCAAAGCAGCATAAGTACCAACTCACGCACTCACGCATGTTAATACCAGTATGTCTGTGCCAATGTCAATCACAACAGCCTCAGATTATAATGAAGCTTAGATGCTTTTCTGTTTCGTTTACATCAAACACTAATGCTTGTCCTCCTTAATTGTTACACGCTTACGCAAAATCACATCTAGATATACCGTATTCGACGTAATAAGCGCCCTGCTCTAATAAGCGCCCACAGCGATATTTGCTAATATATTGGCTAGGGAACAATCCCAATTAGCACCCCTTCCAATTGATCAATTTACACAAGACTGATTTATTCATGTATAATACGCACTTGTGTGTAATATGCATCCTTAATAATGGGCAATTAAATTCTGGAAAAATATAATACGTATAATAAGCACGGACGTTGCTTTTGTATCATTTCAGGCTGTCAGCATAAACCACGAAATTTACGATCTTTCGACTAAAATTTTATTCTCATAAGAACCCCCTATTTTTAATTTTGAGAGCGCCCTGGGCGCTTATTACGTCGAATACGGTAACCTGATAATTTTTAATCAACAATACAGTTGAGTTTCAAAAATGCATCATGAAACAATATGAAACCGAATAGTGGCCACTAATGTGACTTCTAGATTATTTTGTGAGGTGCATCATTTTGCTGCAGGTGTTTTACATAGGTGTCAAGTTTCATTGGTCAGCTGAGATAGCACACAATTATTTTCATGATGTCCACAGTTCTTGAAATTAATCCATTGAGTAACAATGAACAATCAATAAATGTATTATCTGCTAATCCTTTGAACAAAGTATGTTGTTTTCACATAGGCACTTCATTCTCACATATGGGTGTACTCCATCTGATTTAGGAAACCTACACATGTAAACACTTACTTCTGACAAATCCATAATACCAGATAACTGTGATTACTCAAATAATGTATTATCGGTTAATCCTTTGATCAATGTTGTTTTTTTAACTCAACTGATCATTGCTGTCGTGTTGCACTGCCATGGGCATCTTACATAACACGTAATACATTCACCACATCAGACCTTGATTTGTAACCAACTCTGAGATTGAATAATTACCCCAGACATGAGAAATGCCAAGTGGGAACCTTTGTCAGGTAATCTGAATGATGCTACCACAAATTATACCTGTAATAAATTCATTAACTGAGCATGAAGTGAATGAAAACAAATATGCAGGTGTAGGGTTATACCACTCCATATAGGTTGAAGAAATGAATTAACATGCACCCTTTGTAACATCGAAATCTTGATAGATCACTGGAAACAAATCAATGTTCAGAAATGAGGATAGTTATTGCCTCAAACTATTACCGCCATCCTTACAGACGTTAGCCCAATCTCTTAACACGTTCAGTTGCGCCAGCCAGCACATTGACTAATCAAATATTTACAAAATCCAAATCTGTCAAACTGCTAACTCAGACCTTGAAAATATTACCAATATCACAATAATTAAGAGCAGCCTGGAAATTCTACTGAATTAGGTGAAGGTTGCTACTTTCATTCTTGGATTTTCGAAAGTGATTGAGTTAAAATTTATAGTCACGTCAGTAATATTTCAGCCATATCGTGACTAGAAAATGTCAAATATTTATAATTATATATCTAGACCTATCGAGGATGGACAATAACTAGCTTATCACAGATTGTATTTATAACTAGAATTAGAGCATTAAAATGTTATATCTATCATTAGTGCAATATGAATAGATTCTAAGGTAAATTCAAGTACCAACCAAGAAACGACCAGCAAAGTCACATACATCAGCTAAACAATCTCAAAAGAAACCTAAAAGTACCACCGAGCCAGCAGCGGGACCATCCGGGCGATTAATCTACTGTACAGCAGTGACAGTGAGGATTCGCCAATATCCGATGACGAAACATGTTGCGTGTGTCATCACTTTCAGCCCGCTGAACTGGCCCAATGCACATCACTGTTTTTCGTACAGTGGGGGCAGTGCATTTATCATGACTGTAACCACTGGGTGCACTTACAGTATTGTTGTCCAGTGCGCGTGCTTCGGACTCATGACCAATTTTATTGCCCTTGCCATGGTCCATAACTTTATTGACAAGATTCATTTGTGTTGAATAACCATGCTCTTCAACTGTCATCAGCCAACACAGAAATGCTGGTAGGTATAGATTCGAATTCATAAAAAAATATTACACAGTAACGGTACTGGGCTTCGTACATAGAGATACAATAATCTACTACCTAATCCATGAATCCAGGTGATGTCACATTTTGTGTGCACATGAATGGCTGATGAATGCAAATGGCTTCGGTAAACAAACTTTTCTGTCACGAGTTGAATCTTCGTCATTTTCTTATGGTTTCATAGATGAATTAAATGATCAGTGAGTATTCCAAACAAAATCGGTATTTAAACCACAAATTTGGGTGAACTTTCCTTATGTCCACGAATCAAGGTTTCGCGAGGGTATATCTATATAGATATCGAACAATAGTTATCATTGTTAATAATTCTAAGAATATTACCTCTATTACATCTCTGCCATAAATCCTGTATTTTGGCTTCAGTCACATCAACTAAAATTTTCAGAGGTGGGAGGGAGTACTCCGGGTGTAATCAGTGTCTGCTCTGGCTTAAATTTTCTTGGGGTCACCTGGGCCCCTTCATCATAAAATTAGGGGTCCCAAACAAAAATGGATGGGTCCAACTTATAGCACTGCAACATAACATTAACAACAGAACACAGTGGTTGTGAAAAATCAGAAATATTTTCGCAACTGAAAAATATCAACAAACAGGCAAAGTGAGAGAAAGGTTCACATCAGGGCACATCCTGCTCTCATGACCAAGAGGTTTACATTAAGGCACAAACAATTTCTTAAAATGGAAATTTGATATTAATGAATATTTTAACACAAAATTATCCATGTTAATGTAAACTTCGTAAATGAAAAGGCAGTACACGGGTTATCAGCCATTGGTAAGGGGTCATTGGGACAGACATTTGTGAATGTTTATATCTAGATCTACCAATGATTTGAAGTTTATGGATGCAGTCAAGTTCAATGGCTGTTCTGATGCTACTGTACTGAGTAGGGAGTTCATGTCGTAACTGTGACAATTACATCAATGAGTCATGACATATTTGGCATATCAAATGTTTTTTAGTAAAAGTGTATTCAGGATCCAGCATTTCCTTGATAAATCTAGTCAACATGTTACAGGTGCTTTAAATGTTTAAACATGTCAGTTACACTGATAACTGTTCTGGCAAAATGTGTTTTGCAATTCTTAATATAACTCACCAAAGAATGAATTATTAACAGCTGGATAAGTCTGTTGTAGAATAACTAAATATTCAGAGTCCGCTAAATAAACACAATACATTCAAGTGTTCGCATTTGTTCTTTATCATATACAGTATCGCGGTATCGATAAATCTCGTAATCCACACACCCTGTCGACTGTTTACTTATGCAAATTTAAGTACGATATATTTCCTCGCATGATCGAATACAGGACTCGTTGCGGTGTGTCACGGCTACTTGCAAGTATACACACATTCATTTTTTTATGATAGTTCCTGGGATGTTTTTGGAGTGGAATTACCCCTACCTCCGTTCGAAGTCGGAAGTTTATCAAACATGCGCCTCATTTACGCAGTCTAGTACATAACTGAAGACTAAATGTCTGTCAGTATAATTGACTCTTGCAAACTCTGAACACTGTTGTAGGACTCGCTTAGTACTGTCATTGCGTGTAATGGCACTGTAATGGAAGTAATATTTTTAGACAAGCGCTCTTTCAACTCCGTACACCAAGAAACCGCAGGCAGGTGCAATGTAGCAAGCTGTAGTAACTTCAAATTGTATTTAACTTTATGAACCTACCTGTCATATCATTCATTTATTAAATCTGTCACGTTTCACAATGTCTGAAATACGTAATTTATATCAATTTAATTTATTATCCCCCCGGCATAAAATGCGGGGGGATATAGCGATCAGCCAGTCTGTCTGTCTGTCTGTCCGTAGGTCCGTCCATCCGTAATCATTTCCTTTTCTGGGGCAGAACCCGAAAACATTTTAGTGTATTTGATCTAAACTTGGCATATCTATCAGTCACAT